CTGTCATTGTACCAGTACCATGCTGTCTTGACTACCACGGCAGTGTAGTAGGATTTTAAGTCAGGGAGTGTATCCAAACTTTTACAATAGCTGTTTTCACTAGCCTTTTCCACATCTATCTTTGTCATCTCTTTATGTTCTTTGCTGTGACTTGATTAATCTTTTTAAAATAAAATGGGATCCTATCAACATTATAACAAATATATACCTTTTTTTTTCCCAGTGGGCTTATAGTGAAACCAAATCTCACGAACTTTGTGTTTGTCTGTTTGTTTAAAAAAGTATAGTAAGGTCTGATCAGGGGTATATGAAAATAACTGATTTGTGCAATGTTCTAGTCTTGATAGGTGAGAGAGAGAGAGAGACTGATAGACATCGTAGTTGTTCACAAATGTTTGTGGATCAAAGTGACTCATACCTACTTTTGACCATCTTTCAGACATTGCCAATCATCTGAAACTGGCATGAAATTCTCCCTCTGGCACTCAAGGCCTTTTCTCTCCTGCTTAGCCTCTCTGGATACATCTACTGCACTAATTTTTAGTTTTACACTAGAGAGCACATGTTTAATCAAACAATATCAAATAGTTTTAAGAACTCTGGTGGCCTTCTGGATAAAAAGCTGTGCCGCCAACCCCAAAGCATGCAGTTCGAATCCACCAGCTGCTCTGAGAGAAGAAGCTGGACAGTCTACTTCCCTGCGATTTGCTTCTGAAAACCCTCTGGAGGGCCAGCTGTGAGTTGGCTCTGACTCAGCGGTACTTACCAACAACAGTGGTAACATACAAAATAGCTGACTAAATCTTTAATGTGGCACTCCAGCAATTCTTCCCTGATGACATAGTGTGTTGTGCTGTTAACCAAAAAGTTGTCAATTGGAATCTACCTGCTGCTCTGTGTAAGGAAGATTATTAGGTGCCTCCCATTCAGATATATAGCCTCGGAAACCCAGTGAGAGACCACTATCAATCAGTACCCATTTTATCTATAGTTGTAATTTTGGTTTGGATATTGATTTAACCTTATTTCATTTCCTTTTCTATAAATAAGAGGCACTAGCGGTTAAAAAAAGGGCTTTGGGTAAAACTGTTAAAGTATTTATGGGATTTATGAATTGTTCTTCTCGAAGGTTTATAAAGTTAAGTGCAATGAACTATCCAATAATAGGTCAAACCTCTGAGTGACAAAATTTAACAGCAACAGTGTCATAATTCAGGAGCAACCTAATTATCTGTATTGATTATCTCAGTTAATTTTCCTTTTCTCTCCTATTACCTGTTGGGGCCTTGGTGTCAGCTTTCCTGCTCTCCCGGCTCCCCTTCTGCGCCCACACATGCACCGTGTACTCCACGCCCGGCCTCAGGCCCGTCAGCTCCGTGCTGCTCCGATCCTTCCCCACTGGGACCTCCTTGGTCTCTCCATCGGCTGAGGTGTAGCGCACCATGTACCGGTCAATGACGGCCTGCACGGGGTCCCAGGACACGGTGGCCGTGTTCTCTGTAACCCGGTCTGCCACCAGGTTTTTGGGGCTATCAATATCTAAAAAGAAAAATGCCAGTCAATAGCCATTATTCACAGACGCCAGTGTGTTCAGACTGGTGGCCATTTCCTTATGGTTTTATTCTTATGATTTTTTTGCTTTGCTGTTTCCCACCTCCTACGGTTTTGTTTGCTTTTAACTTAGATGTATTACTTACCTAGCAGGTAGATACTAACTCCTTAAGGCACCTTAGTCTACTCCTAGCAGAGCAGAATTGTTGTTGTTGTTATGTGCCGTCAAGTCGCTTGTGACTCATAGCGACCTTATGTACAACAGCCCTAAACTCTGCTCTGTCCTGTGCCAATCGCACTGTCTCTGACACTCCCAAC